TCGGCTTCATTGTTGGATACCCTGAAGTTGAAGCGGATGGCATAGTAAGCTCTGAATCCTTCAGGGGATATGAGGACGCCGCCGTCGCCGCATGATTTCGCGGCCGAGGAGCCGTCGGTGAAGAGGATCCACGTGTCATCGGGCTCTGGCACGGGGGTGGTAGCGGCTGTCTCCCTCGCCGTGCATTCGGTGACGAAGTCGGCCAAATCTTTCCCTTTGATGGATGGCCTTGGCTTGATCTCAATCTGAAATTGGCTGAGGAAGATTTCCCATTTCACCATCCTTGAGGAGCTAGTGGGGCTCCTCATGAGTGCGCCAAGGGGCTGCTGGGTCAGCACGTGGACGGCATGGGCCTGGAAGTAGTGCCCCAGCTTTTTCACCGTATGGACGATGGCTAGCACCGTCTTCTCGATGGGGGAGTACCTGAGCTCGGCCTCCCTAAGTGTCTTGCTGATGTAAAAAATGGCCTTCTGCACCCCTTCGTCCTCACGGATGAGCACAGAGCTGATGGCCGACGTGCTCACCCCTAAGTACAAGAAGAGGGTTTCGCCGGCTTTGGGCTTGGAGAGCACGGGTGGGGACGATAGGTACCTCTTCAGCTCTTCGAACGCTTCCTGGCACTCCGTCGTCCATTTGAAGCTGTTAGCTTTACGCATGATCTGGATGAAAGGGAGTGCCCTTTCGGCTGACCTGGAGAGGAAACGGTTCAGGGCCGCCAGGCGCCCCGTCAGCCGTTGTACCTCCTTGACGTTGCAGGGCGGCTCCATGTTGATGATAGCCTGTGTCTTCTCCGGATTTATCTCGATGCCTCTCCGGCTGACCATGTAGCCGAGGAACTTGCCGCCTTGGACGCTGAAGGCGCACTTCTTGGGGTTGAGGCGGAGCCTGAACTCCTTCATGATTTCAAAGATTTCCCGGAGGTCGTCGGCATGTGTGGTGGCCTGCCTGCTCTTGACAATCATGTCGTCGACGTATGCCTCCATCGTCCGGCCGAGGACTGCTCTGAAGATTTTGGCCACCATCCTGGTGTAGGTGGCGCCAGAGTTTTTGAGTCCGAAAGCCATGACGAGGTAGCAAAAGATTCCCTCCGGGGTCATGAATGCCGTCTTCTCAGCGTCATCTTCATGCATGGAAATTTGGTGGTACCCTCTGAAAGCATGAAGGAACGACATCAACTCGCACCCCGCCGTCTCGTCCACCAGCTGATCAATGTTGGGGAGAGGGAACGGGTCCATGGGGCACTCCTTGTTCAGGTCAGTGTAATCAACACACATCCTGAATGTCGGCGGTTTTTTGGCGAGGACGACGTTGGCTAGCCACGTCGGGTACTTTACCTCTTTGATGTGTTTGATTGAGAGGAGCATGGCGACCTCCCCTTTGACGAAGTCCCACCTGTCGGCGGATAAATAGCGCCGCTTCTGCTTGACAGGCGCGGAGGCTGGATCGACGGTCAGCCGGTGAGTGATCACCTGGCGGCTGATGCCTGGCATGTCATCCGGGCCCCACGCGAAGATAACGGCGTATGACCGTAGGACGAGGAGGATGGCGTCCCGCTGGTCCTGCGGGAGTTGCTTCCCGATTCTGAGAACCCGCTCCGGCTGGGAGGTATCCAGAGGGACTTCCTCGACCTCCTTGGCCGGTTCGGCATGCGGCCTCTCCTTGTCCTTGGCAACGGCTGCCGTGATGGTGTCTATCCTCTGTCCTTCCCTTTCAGACACAAGTTCTTCATGGAGATGATGGACTCCAAGTCCTCCAGTGCTGGCCGCCCCAAAATCAGGTTGTGGGCGCACTGGAGGTTGACCACCATGAACTCCATGTCAATTTTGGCGCGGTGGGGGCCGTCACCGACCTCCACGGGGAGGACTATCGTGCCCTCGGTGTCGATAGAATCCCCGGTGAAGCCGGATAACGGTGTCTTGATCGGCTTCAGCAGTGCTTTGTCCAGCTTCAGCTGCATGAAGGTGTCCAGGTACATCACGTTGACGGAGCTCCCCGTATCGATGTAAGTGCGGTGGATGATGGAGTCACCGATCTCACACCGGATGACGAGGGCGTCCCTATGTGATTCCGTACCCGGAGGCAGATCCTTGTCGGTGAAGGTGATCGCCTCCGTTCGCTGTTTCTTCGGCTGGGGGGGAACGTGAGACACCTCCCCAATGTAGAGGGATTGAGTCCATTTCTTCCTCTGGGTGACGGAGTCCCCCCCAGTACTCCCACCTACGATGAGGTGAATATGGTTCTTCTTTGGCGGGGGCTCTTCGAAGTCCTCGTCGTCGCTGAGCCTGCCGATCTCCCGCTTCTTCGTAGAGGGTTCGCCCCCAAGTTTGCCGGTGTTTACCCACGTATTTTTGCGTGGGCCACCTTTAACAAATTGGGAGAGTTCCCCCTGACGAATAAGGCGCTCGATGGCTTTTTTCAGCGTGATGTAGTCGTCGGTGTTGTGCGAGGAGTTCTTGTGAAACCGGCAGTATGTGCCGCCTTGCTGGATGGCGAGGACCTCCTCGGCCGGCCGAGGAGCCTGCTCAATGAGGCCATGCTTCTCGGCGTAGTCGAGGATGGTGCCGACCAGGTGGGTGAGGGGGACCCCCGGCCGTTCCAACCTCGGCCGCCAGTGGCGGTCTTTCTTGCTTTGTCCACCAGAGCCGTGACGGCCCTGGGCACCCTGGCCAGCCGGAGATGGACCCGGGGCCGGCGAAGGATTTGTCTTCTTGGAGGGATGGCCTCCCTCTTTCTTGTGGTTGTGGAGCTCGTCGGCGTCGGCGTAAAAGCTCCCGCGCTGAAGCACCTTCGCATACGATCTTGGAGGATCGGTGATGAGGCTTCTGGCGTACGGGGAGCTACGGAGGGCTCCCTGGTACAGGACGAGGAGGGTGCGCTCATCGGCCCCCTCGACTTGTTCTGTCTCCCTCGTCCACCGATCAATGAACGACTCGAGGGACTCATCATGTTGCTGCTTGATGGAGAGGAGATGGGTGAAATACTTCTTCGTGCGCTTCCTTCCGGCAAAGTGGATGAGGAAGCGTTGGGCAAGGTCTTGCCATGAGTCAATACTTCCTTCGGGGAGCGCGTTGAACCACTCATACGCTGGCCCCTCAAGAGTAGAGAGGAACCAACGACAGAGATATTCATCCGACGCGTTCACCATCAGCATGTTGTTCTGATAGCGGCTGAAGTGCTCCTGGGGGTCTGATCGGCCATCGTAGGACTTGATGGCGTTCCCCGTGTACTTCTCCGGGATGGGGGCCGAGAGCACCCTGTTAGTGAAAGGGGTCCAGGTTCTGACCTGGATGACGGGGTCACCTCGCCCTTCGGCCAGGGTCGTTGGAGGCGCCAACCGTGGGGATGTTTGCTGATTGCTTGGCCTCCATCTGGGCCAGCCTCCTTTCCAGCTGGGCGATGACCTCGTCCCGGGGGTCCCCGACGGCCGCAGCGGCGTCCTGCTGGTTCCTCATGCGCTCGTCGTGGGTTGCATTGATCTGGTGGCGCACGTCGTCTTCGTGCAATTTTCCCTTACCCTTGTCTAGGCGGGGCTGGTCCGCTGTCCGGGACACAGACCCCAAGCTTTCCCTTGGCGAGCCAGGCCGACGCTCACCAATCCGCCCTGCCATCCTCTCCGAAACCGGACGACGGCGCGTGTCACCTAGCCTATTGAAGGTAGAGGCTTTTCCACGCGCTGGGGTCTGCCCAAGCCGAAGAGGGGAAGCGGGGTGGGAGTGGGATGACGCCGTGTCCTGGGCCATCACCCCCTCATGGTTGCCTATCTGGACGGCCAACGGTTGGGGCTGAGGGGGTGGAGTGACGTTCCCCCCAGTCCTTGGCAAGAGTGCGCTGAGGACGGTGGGGTTCTGGGCCAAGCTGGCGATGATGACCGACAGCGCGGCCTGGACCTGTGGATCCACAGACGGAGAGGCCGCGGCCATAGGCCGGGCCGGGGCGTGGTCTGTCTTCTCAGCTCATTTCTTGTCTAGGCCGATGCGGGCGTCAGGGGCTCCGTCGTTGAGTTGGTTGCGGAGGTCCGTCGTGAGGTTGATAGCCTCCTGGAAGACGTCTCCTCCGCCGACCTGGTCGGCCGTAACATCCTCCTTGTGCTCCCTGGTCTCCTGGTCCTCAGGGATGGCTTTGCTGACGAGGTTGCGGTTTGACTTAGTTCTTCCCATGATCAGTGGTTAGCTGTGCTTGGTAGCGATGAAGGGTGCTAACTTGATTGTTCTATCTCTCAACGAGAGCACCAAATGATAGAGTATATATCTAGAGAGAAGTGAGAGCTAGAGAGAGAAGTGCAATATATGCTTCAATAGAATGATTTTGTAACCCTGATAACTACCTCCAGAGGAAGTATTTATAGGAAAAATACGGACTGGGCTCCCAAGCCTTGGGCTTGGGAGGCCCATTTACAACTGGACCGCTATTGGGCCGAATACAAAGCCACTAGTGGGCTGTACAAATGAATAAGTGTAAAATCCGGTTCTGTGAGACTTCCGTGGCCGACGAGGGTCTTGGCCGACGAGAGCACGGCCGACGAGAGCACGGCCGACGAGGGCGCGGCCGACGAGAACACCCTGGTTCCCTGGCTTCAGGACCATATTCTGAGTTGGTCCCTCTTCGGCCGTCGAGGGTCTCCTGGCCGATGAGGGCACACGTGGTGGCTGTGCTTTCTGTTCTCCTGAGTATGTGGGTCCTGGGGCCTGGACCCATATACTCCATCATCAATCGAGTCCATATACATTAAAATGAATCAATTAAGTTCATTAAATGTTAAAAATGAGTTAATTAGGCTTTTTAGCTAGTGGATGGACGGGAAAACAGGTAGTTTCTGATGTGGAGGTACATGTGACCTTTTTTTTTCTTGAATAAAAGTAAAAAAGTTTTGAAATTTCAAAATAGGAGGAATTTCTATTTTTTCTTTTTACCTTTCTTTCTTTTCCATTTTTTCTCTCTCTTCCCTCTTACCTGAACTTAGCAATGACTTCTTTCTTACTTTCTTATCCTTTTCTTTTTCGGTTTCTTTCTCTTCCCGTTTCTTACTTTCTCTTCCCTCTTCCATGGACTTAGCAATGGCTTCTTTTCCATTTCGTTTTCTTTTCTTTCCCCATTTATTTGTATTCCCCGCTCCCCTTCCGCTGCCGTTGCCATCCGCCGTCGGTTTCACAGATGGAAGATCTCTGATTCTCTTCGATTCCGTAGGCTGCAATCCAGGTTCAACGGACAAAAATGGAAAGGAGAACCGGGGACATAACAAGAAAGAAAAGGGAAAAGAGGGAGGAAAAGAAAAGAAAGGGAAGTGCCACATGGAGAAAGAGGGGGCAGGGAGGAGGAGGAAAAAAAACAAAAAATGGAAAAAGAAGGAAAAGTGGTGCAGGGAGAGAAGGGAGGGGAGAAAAAAGAAAAATGGGGGGAGGGAGGTCTGTTCATGGCGCAGGGAGAGAAAGCAAAGAAGGATGAAACAGAAAAATAAAATAAAAAGACAAGAAGAAAAAGGGGGAAGAAGAGGAAGAAGCAAGGGCGAAGAAACTGGGGCTAAGTCGCGAACCAGAGAAGAGGAGGGAGAAGAAATTAAGAGAAAAAGAGAAAAAAGAAAACAATCAAAAAATGTCTAGGTGCCTTCCACTTCATCAATATTGGAGGGTTACCGGGTGGTAACCGCTCCAATGGAAAGATTGGTTAAAATTTGAGAGTTGAAAGAGTGAGTGTTTAGATTTGATTCTTAAAACTGCTTCTGCTTCTTCAGGGAACAGAAACAGAAGTTGGAGTGTTTGGATAAAAGTGCATAAGTGATTCTAGTGCTATAATTTACTCATAGAATCAGTTTTTTAGAAGATGAGGGTGATCAACTTCTGAAAACTGATTCTGATTCGGCTTCTGCTTTAAAAAAGAAGCAGAATCAAAATCGATTCCAAACACCCCCTTAATTGATTGAGTAAAAATTGAATTCAATTGACTTTTTCTTAATAGTATGTTGACTTATTTGACAATTTTTCTCTTACATATATTTCAATTCTCTCTAGTAATATTGGAATCATCTTTTTTTTTGAGATAATGAAATATTTTATTAAATGAAATGTTAGTACAGTGCGGAAAAAAGAAAATACAAGAAATCAAACTAGAAAGAAATTAGGCTCATGGATTTTTTTGGACTGCGATCTAGTCCTCATGCTATGGCGCCGTTTACTCTTATGAGATTTCTTGTAGATTTTGAATTGCGTATTAAGATTGTATGTTGGCAATCTTGTCTCTAATGTAACGAATTTGGATTTATTAGCAAATGTCTCTATTAAAGTTAGAGTCTCGTATGTCTTCACGACTGGAAATGGATAGTCGTCGCCTGTCGCTCTCAGTTACATGTCTTAGAAAATCCTCTGAAAAACCAGTATTGAAATCATCTATATATTCATTTAATAATATTTAAATCATCTATATTGATATCGACAAACCAAATAACTTATACTCAAGAAGAAACCAACCATACATATAAGTCCATTGATGATTATACTTTGACTCTACCACCCACAAATGATCCACAAAAGTTGCTAACCATGCAAAGGACAAACTAAAGCTTAGCACAACCGACAAACCATGCATCTATCATGATTTTAGAAATGTACAACACTACCACTACAAAAAAAACTCGCTCTTTGTCACGGATTTTTGTCACGGATTACGGCCGTGACAAAGTTGTCACGGGCTTTGTCACGGAATATTGGGATTTGTCACGAAAATGTGTTGTCACGGATAGGTCCGTGACAAAATCCGTGACAAAATATTGTCACGGATTTGGTCCGTGACAAATTTACTCCGGCGACCGGTTTTTTACTCCGGTGAATACTTTTTTTTCTCCCGGGCATTTGTCACGGACTATTACGTGACAAATCCGTGACAAATTTCAAAAAAACTTTGTCACGGATCCATCCGTGACAAAATCCGTGACAAACTTCAATTATTGATTTTCCAGCGGTAACATTTAATAATACAGTACGAAAAAAGGGTTGTCACGGATAAATCCGTGACAAATCCGTGACAAACTTTTTTATATAACCCAACCCCATCGTCCATTACAATTGCAAAAACAACAATTATCAGTTCAAAAATTCGTAGATTCGAGTGATGTAGTATCGGTTTAAAGATTGAATGATGTAATCCGTCAGTTCATCATTTTCCCAGTTTATGCAGATAAGGTATGTCATTTTAACTAATTTCTTTTAATTGTGTAATAAATTAATTATTAGCTTAATAATTAATTAGTGAGGTTAGGATTCTTTTTTCTTTATATAATAATAATAATTAATTATTAGCTTAATATTTAATTAGTGAGGTTAGTTGTTCATTTATTTAAACTATTAACGTAATTTAGTGAGGTCATGTTAATTTTCATATTATTAAAAATATATTATTAAAATATTAACGTAATTTAATTAATTAGTCAAATTTAAATATAAATATTAATTAGTTAATGCGATGCATAATATAGCTAGGATTAGGCCGGTTTGTTTAATTAATTAGTTAAATGAGTTTATATCACCAATGATTAGACCGGTTTGTTTATTAGCAATTATTGTTATTAATGCATAATTTAGGATGTGTAGTGATGATTTAAGTATTAGCTAGCTTAAGAAGAGCGCCACAATCCCGGTTCGCTTGAGGTGACACCTCAATCAATCCATAGGTAATAAAAAACTAACACTGTCTAATATAAAATAGTATAATCTCTACATCTAAGAATTAATACAATTGTTTTTATCAATTATCAATTTTTTGAAGCGATCCCGAGGTCTTGAATAGAATCAAGTCTATTGTTTGTGGTCATTTCACGGGGCCTTGGTCGACTTATGGTGAGGTTCCGGCGGCCACTCGTGAACTATGGTGGCGGTTGTTCAAGGTAAAAATAAAATTTTTTGTTACATTTTAATAACTTAAATTTAAGAAATGATATATCAATGTTTTTAATGAAGGCTTCCCATCGGTGGCATTTTGCCCTAGACCAAGCTATTCTCAAAGATTACAATTCTAGGATTTCTGGGTGGTTGAGACCCACTTTTAGGACTGCCTGGTCTACCGGTCAAAAGCCAAGATTCCTTGGCGATGATGTGTGGGAGATGCTTTGCCGCCACTGCGCTACGGATGCCGCATTTTTGCTGAGAAGCGAAACGGCCAAGGCAAACCGGAACTCTGAGAAAGCCAAGGAAGTTCAATGGCACGGGGGCCGCAAACCCCAAATTCAACATAAAAAAGATCCGGTAAACTCTAATTTGTTAAAATTATTTCCATTCCATACCCTTATGTATATATATTTTTTATTAACTTTGAAATCCGTGTAGGAAGGATCTGGACCCGTGAAAAAACGGGTCACGCCATTGAAACTCATGGCACATTGCTGGACGAAGAAGGGTGCCATGCCGCCTCCCCGCCTTTCTGAAATTGAAGTAAATAATGAAACTTCAATAATTCAATAAATTTCGAATTTTTTTGATCTCTTATATAATAAATTTTTGAACTTGTAGAAAAAATATGAGGAAGAGCGGGGGAAGAGAGTTGATGAGCTAGCTGATTCTGATGACGAACTTGATGAAAATCAAGAATATGAGGCCATCTTGGCGGCAACCGGAGTTTACAAGGGCCGGGTGCCGCTTATGGGTTCTGAAGGCGTACGGATCCTGGAGAAGGCCAAAGGAGCTAGCTCGTCTTCTCATTCGGCGTATGATGATCGGGTTACCCGCCTCGAGAAACTATTGGAGGAACGTGAAGCAGAGGCTCGAAGGCGGGATGAAGAAGCTCGGATACGGGATGAAGAGCAAAGAAGAACAAGAGAAAGGTTGGAAGAGATGGAACGACAAATGCGTATTTTCAACACCACCTACCGTCCATCCATGCACATACAGCATCCCGAGATGACTCCACAAGTTCCCTTCGCGGGCAATATGGGCAATATGGGCAGTATGGGCAGTAGGGGTTTTGCTAATTATAGCCATATCTCCAACAACTTTCCATATGGATATTATGATGATACTCCTTTAGCGACTCCCGGAGCTCAAGCCTAGCGTGGCAGCAGCCGGGCTGACAGCCGCGGTGGCCACGGAAGGCAACCCGATCATCGTGACGAACCTGATGATGATGATGATGATGATTATGATGACCATTGATGGTTTGTAATAATTAGTTTATTGACATTTTAAGGATTTTTAAATTTTGATGGTTAATGTATGAATATTAATTATTTGTGTTATATAATGATGGTTTGATTGGTTTATTATTTATTATGATAACTAATGTTTAATGGTGATTAATGATGATTAATGATGATTGTTTAATTATTTATTATAAACAATTATTTATTAAGATTAATGATGATGATTGTTTAACTATTTATTAAAAACAATGTTTATTAAGTTTAAATTTTTTAAAAAGCGCCTAAATTTTAATGGTTATTATTTATTAAATAAATTTTGAAATAAACATTCAAAAAACTAATGCGCTGAATTTTTAATTTTTTTTAAAAAAATTTAAACTTTTGTCACGGACTGTTCCGTGACAAAATATAAATTCATTTTATTTTAAATACATAAATCGCTGAAAATAACGTATTTTTTTTTTTAAAAAATGTTTTGTCACGGATGGGATCCGTGACAAGTTCAAAATTTTGATTTTTTTTTTTTGAAAATTTTAAAGTATCCGCCCACCTGTTTCGAATTTTTTCAAAATTTTTTCAAAATGTTTTGTCACGGATATTTCCGTGACAAAATTTAAAATTTGAATTTTTCCGGATCGTTTCAAATACCTGTCCACTCTATTTCGAAAAACCTCTTTTTAAATTTGTCACGGAAATTTCCGTGACAAATAATTATTTTTTTTTGAAAAATAAAAGAATTTATTCACGGATGCGGCCGTGACAAAGAAAAGGCGATGGAGTTCCGGTGAAGTGTTTTGTCACAGACGGTGGCCGTGACAAACGGTCTCACGGATTAATTTCCGTGACAAAAACGTTATCACGCCCCTGGTGTCACGAATTTTTTCCGTGACAAAAAATCATTTGTCACGGATTTTTTGAACTACCGTCCGTGACAAAATCCGTGACAAAGGGCGAGTTTTTTTATAGTGTACCAAATCCAAAACAAATAAACAACACACCAAATTTTGTGAAACTGTAAACAAATTAAAAACAAATTAATCATGAAAGTGTAGACAAATACAATAGCAATAAACCATTAATGGCCAATCATGCTTCATATAGATAAAATACCTTACTACTCTTACATTCTATGACGGTCATTCGAGAGGGATACTTGATCTATCAGTGTGGTCACAGAGATACTGACATCATTGATTTGGAATGTTAGAAGATGTTAATTAGCGCATGCAAGCTCAATCAAGATTGGCAGAAGAAGAAATTTAATTAACCTTTAGACGACTGAATTTACTGAAACATATTAAATTCTATAAATGTTTATATTTTAGAAAACCAATACATTCATTGTCAAAAAAAGAAACCCAATAAATTTGACTAACTGAACAAAATTAATATTATATTCTCTTCTTTAATCTCAATAAATTTCATTTGAAAAGTAACTCTACATTAATTGATTAAAGTATAAGACAAAAAATGGGACACACCAAAAAATTGCTTTAGTATCAATTATTTAACAAATTAATTCGAAATCTAGTCCTATATGTCAATTTCACATTTAGTTCATATCTTTAATTTTGTTCACTTTTGATACTTCACTAATGTTTCCACTGGAAGTATTAACGGAAGATCCATAAATGAGCGATGTTGAGGTTTGTTTCTCCAAGTCCAAAGGCCGGCTGTCATCCGAATATCGAAGTCGAGATGAATAAGGTGTGAATAATACTCTCGTATTCAATAAGAAGGGGCAAATAACCAATTGTATTAAGGTAAATATGTTGTTTACACAGAAATATAATGGCCGAATGGGACTGCCGAGAATAATGTCTAATACAAGAGCTAAAATCAAATACGTAGTATATTGCTATGAATACAAATTTGCTAACCTCTTAAAATAAAATATATGTTCATATTTATACTATGGATGAGTAGTTGAGGGGGTGATGTGGCCGATTCTGAGTGGATGACCCTCAACCATAAAATCCTCTATATCTCTTGCATTAAATGCACCTCCCGCTAGTAAGGAGGTTTTCCGCCAATTTCCTTGGACCGGTTCTCTATGACTAGCTCTCTTCTCCGCCAAGTGTGGTGTTTAGGACCGTTTGGTAGGTCCCGTCGATCTTTCCCGTGCATGCTCTTTGTTACTTGTTAGTTGGATCCCGTTGAACCTGGGCCTTTTAGCGATATCTTGGGTTCGTACTTGGGTCGTGCCCTAATATATATCCCAACAAGCGAAAAACAATCATTATGTATCAAAAGTAGTCAATGTCAAAGAAATGAACTAATTGTAAAATTGGTGCGATACTCATTGGACCAATTTTTAACTAGGTAGATTATATGGTTATCAGAAGGTACCATACATTTCTCCACATGGATCAATGAGAATGTTGCAATTGAATTATTTAAATCTAAATTAAAAATAATATAATGACGCGGACCAATCAAATGAATGATAGGTACGGTACCTCATTTTTTAAATGAATATGAGAGTTTGTCCCCATTTTTTTATTCATTCTTGAATTAACCTTTAACGAACCTTTAAGGCTTTAACGATTCAAATCTTGGAATGGGTCAGCAGTAAGAATGGCTTCCTTTCTTCAATCTTCAATTCTATTGACCACTGACCGGTCTAAGTTGGGAGAATGATGAGCATTCCCACTTTCCCCGGTCAGCAGTAAGACTAAAAATCTTGAAATGCCTTTCTCCGGCCACCCTCTATATATATATGACCTTCTTTAATTTAACTCCATTTTCATATCCATAAGTTAACCCACTTTACTTCATGCTGCTTTCACTATATCATCTTCACTTTCCTCAACAATCAGAATATTCGTACGTGTTGCAGAAATGGAGGGAGTCGATGGAGAAATGAAGAAGCTGATAAGTGAGCTATCTCTCGGGCGGGACGCCGCCGCGCAACTTCAGATGATTCTGAACGGGCCGCCGCCGCCCCGTTCTGATCAAGAAACTTGCGAGCTGCTGGTTCAGAATGTCCTGTCTTCCTACGAAAAGGTGCTCGCCATGCTTAATTCCGAATCTTCGACGAGGATTACTACTCGGACGGCGGTCCCACCATCTCCGGCAGGGGCCACATTTGGGATTCAATCTTCTTCTTCCCTTTCCGGCAGTCCCCATAGTGAAGATTCCGACCGGGATGGCGATGGGTCTCGCAAGAAGAGGTATGTAACCTCCATTCCACTCTACTTTTCAAACTTTCCTTTTGAGAAAATTCCCAGTTTAGGAGTAAAACTTATCATATATGTAAAAGTAGGACTCCTATCTAACAATGTAGTTTGTCATACGGAAATTATAAGTAAGAGACAGAAATGCCTTTAATGAATAGTCAAACTTATTTAGTAAAAATACAAAATAGAATAATAAACTAATTAATGCATTACACAACAAGTCAACAACGTATTTTTCCTTCCCCAACCACAAGTTGTCGCTGACACCATCTAGGGGCAGTACCTGCACCAGTAACCGCCGCCCCTAACCACCGCCCTACGCCGCCACTTGACGCCGCTGCCAGATGACGAACGTTGCTGCCTCCGGACGCCGCCAATCTCTGCCGTCGCTGGACACCGCCAGTCTTCACCGTCGTAAGACACCGCCGGTCTCTGCTGTCGCTTGACGCCGCCGCCACCACCATCTTCGCCGCTACCTTGTTCCAGGGTCACCACCGGACATCTACAAATTCCGACGCCGCCATCTCCATCCTCTAGCCTCAGATCTGAAAATTAAGAATGTTGTAGAATGACAATCTGATATTTGTTTTTAATTTTTTTACTCTAAAATTTTAAATTTAATGAATTTGGATCTGAAATTTTAAAATCATAATGTCGTTTTGTAAAAAAATACATGAAATTAATATTTGTAAAACATGGCATTATTTGCTTAACATATCTGTGTGATTGCCATCTTTACGAAATTAATGTCGACTTCATAAATGTAAAATGGCATTATTTTCCAAACATATTGAAAAACACTTCATAAATGTAAAATGGCAATATTTTCGAAACATATTGAAAAACATGGCATTTTTAAAATAATTTTGCCATTTTTGAAATGGAAAAAAATAGAAAGATTAAATAAAGAGTCAAAGGAATAAAAGGTGAGAAAAATTGAAAGACCAAATAAAGAAAAAGGGAGATTGAAGCTTGAGAAATTCAGATCTCGAAAGGGAAAAGAACATTCACTTAAAAATCAAATCAAAATTTTGTTGTAATGAAAGCAAGAAGGTTTACGCTCAAAAAGGTGCAGCTGCGCAAAGGAGAAAAAAAATAATGGAGAAGAAGAAGATGAGGAGGAGGAGAAGGAGGAGGATGAGAAGGATGAGGAGGATGAGGATGAGGAAATCAAACTTACGTGTGTTTGCCCCGTTGTACGCTGATAGCCGGAGTTCGACGGAGAAATTCATTGCCCAAACCTTTGTAATCCACCGACAGTCCAACAGAGATGGTTAAATGGATGAGTGAGTGACATGGGAGAAACGAGAGGAGATGGGAGAAGGCAGGGGAAAGAAAAGAGAGAAAAAAGTGTGATGGAGACGGAAGATGCCTGACAGAAGGAAAACCAATTCATAAATCTAATTAATTTAGGTTACTTGAAAAGAGGGGTATAATTGGGAAAAGGAACGGGCCGGTCAACAATAAACTCCTATATAGGAAATAAATCATTAAGTACTCTTATTCTGGAACTTCTTTAATGTTTTAATCCTATTAAGGTCAATTTAAATTTCCTTTTTTGTTTGTCTTCTTAAAACTTTGGCACGACCATGATTTTAAAAAAGGTGAAACGAACCAAGAATCGAATCACACAGTTGAGATGGTTTCGATTGATTTTGGTTCGGTTAATTTTGATCGATTTGTATCGATTATTCGACTCCGATAAGCTCAATCACGTTTTGATTGGTTTTGTCGGTCGGTTCCGATTCAATCGATTTTTTAACCCAAAATATAAATCGTAAACCAAACCACGGGTGAGTTAGTCGGTTTTAGTCGGTTTTGTTTTCGTTCAGTGTCATGACCAGTACAGTTCCTTTTCCCGGGAATTGGATTTGCAGGAAAGCTCCTCGTTGGACGCAAAAAGTTAAGGTTTGCAAGGGATCAGAGCTTGAAGGAAATGTTGATGACGGCTATAGTTGGAGAAAATATGGGCAGAAAGAAATCCATGGAACCAGATATCCAAGGTTCACATTTTAATTTTGTATTTTTGCTCATTAATTGTTTTAATTACTAATATGGCCACTCCCATCTTAGCTTCAATAACTTTCACAGTTAAGTCTAAGCATAGCACATTTTCATAAATAGACCCACCCAACTTGTTTTAGGATATGTTGCATTTTCTAAAAACATGACTTGATTTCAAAAAGATAAGTTTAGCTTCTTCTAAATTTTAGTTCAATAAACTTTTTATACATAGTACAGAGTATATGAATATGCCTCCTCGTGTGATTTATTGTCGTATATTCTCGTTCCATCAGAACTTGTCACACACGTGAAATATAAAAGAAAGTTTTACAATTGAGATTTACATGCCATATCAAAAGTTAATATGGTGTATTAGACGCACAATATTAATTATTAATTACATTAAAAAGAAAGTGATAATTTTTTTGGGAACTAAAAAGAAAGTCTGGCGAAGTATTAAAATGAAAATCAAAGTAGTATAAATGAACACTTTAATAAGTATGGGAAAACTTGAGCAGTTTTGGGCATTGCATTGAGTTAATTAAACTTATTCTTGATTTTAATTATGCACATTTGCAGAGCTTATTTCAGATGTGCCCATAGACACACCCAAGGTTGTTTGGCAACCAAACATGTCCAAAGATCGGACGAGGACCCGAACATTTTCGACATTACTTTCCGTGGAAAGCACGCTTGCAAGCAGTTCCAGCCCGGTAACGGCAGCCCGCCACCACCACCGCCACTGATAATCCCTCCGCAAAATCAAGAACCAATAATCTCAGCAATGGAAAGCCAACTAGTGATTAACCCCTTCACAAAACAAGCCCAGCGCCCATCTGGAGATGTCCTTAAAGTTGAAACCAGCAATTTGAACATTGCTCATCAAGAAAACCATCTATTGTTCAATTATTTTGACAACCTCTCTTCGTCAAACTCAAATCCCGAACATTATGATCTCCAACTTTACGACCAGAACTTCGGCTGGAATGTTCCGTCAGGCGGCTTTGGCCTTATTACAGGCGGCGGAAGCCAAAATGTGGCGCCGAAATCAAACTTAGCTGCATTTGGTGAAGCTAGTAGGATCACTCCCCCTCTTTCAAGGGCAGTTGAAACGACAAACTCATCTGCCGTTGACCAAGGATTCCCTTTTGCCACAATGGGATTTGACTCCAATTTCACCTTTGGTGATCATGATGATTTCTTCCCATAGCTCATTTTCAGGTAAATTTGATAAAAAAAAATATTCTGCTTTTGTATATTGAAAAGTGTGACGTCAATCCCACATTTGTTTCCTGTTTTTAAGCTTGTGATACATGACAACTTTTTGCACATTCATAGTCCTGACCAAAATTTGCCTCACATGACACCTCTCAAGTCTCAAGCGATTATAAGCACCACTGATATAAATAGAAGGATCACAAATACTAAAGAACAATAGTCATATATGAGAAATGGATAGTCATTTCTCCAAAAGGTTGAATCTCCAATCCCATGCGCTCCACGCACTGACTCCACAAGGCATTTGTAAGGTTGTAAGTCACATTGACTCAATCTGCACAATAGTGATAGACCTTGTATCCGTGTACACGAGAGGTCTAGCACAACACACGGGAGATGTAACTTCCACACGACCGCTGCGGGTTTCGATCCTTGATCAATCCTACAACTTTCCCATAACTTGACCAACTGAGTTACCTGTGCGGATTGAAAAATGGATAGTCAAAAGATGTAGAGGATGTGTAGGATCTATTTTTATATACTGCGTAATACTTCTAGGGATGAGGTTCAAATAAGAAGAAGTCTTAAGGTGAGAAATGAGAACAACTCTCAGGTGTTGGATTTGATTGACTATGTTGAAGTAAAATAAACTACATGTTGCACTGAAATTAGTAACCGGGCGTTGTGCCATTTGTGTAAATACTACTGAAAAATCTGTATTGTGTAGTGCAATATGAAGTTATTTTGGTTCATTATCATCAAATTTTATTGCAGCATGATATAGTTTTAGTGCAACATTGCAAAATATAAATTATGTTGCACCATGAAGCTATTTTTAGTGCAACATCACCTAATCTAACGATTGAGATTTATTCTCATTTCTTACATTAGATGCATTTCTCACTTGAACCAAAGTTGCACCTCTAGAATTAAAACCCTAAGGGTATGTTTGAGAGTTTGGAAGGAAGGGGCGAAGAAGGCTTTGTATTTGGGATTAATAAATTTGGAAAAAGAGAGTTTTCTAAGGGATTATAATTAAAATCACTTTGAGATATGACAAATTCAAATAATTTAATTGACATTCATTTTAAAGTAAGCTTAAATTATTATTTCATTAATTACCCTTCAAAACTCATCAAATTGGGGGAACTTAAAAATTGAACATTTGGAGGGTTACAAAAGCCCTCCAAAACCATCCCTTCAATTTCCTACTCCCAAACATAAAAAGGAGGATTATAAACCTCCATAAATCTTCCCCTCCCCTCCAAAATCCAACTTCCAAACACACCCTAAAAGTGCAATCTGTTCTTTGAAAAATGGTTCACAAGTGTTTCTCATGTATGTATGTGTAATTTTGGGAGATCAACGATCTTGTTTGTATGCTATTTGGTAGCCTAAAAAGCACTTCAGTTCATACTTTTATTTTTCTTTACCTATCTTATCACCTTCCTCGCAAGCCCGGCCGGTAAACTGCGTACAATATGCGGCATTAGATGTCAATTAAGATCAAAAGTTAGTTACTCGAAGAATGGGATGTGCAATTTTGTTGAAAAAAGAAACAACAAATGATAAAAAATGAATATAGTTAGGTAATGTATGAGTCACATGCGGGCATACATAACACATCAATCCCTTAGGGTATGTTTGGGAGTTTGAAGGCAAGGGGAGGAGAAGATTTTGAAGGTTAATCGTAGGAAGGGAAGGGGAGTGAAAGGGTTGAAAATTCTTCTTCTTGTTTGGGAGTATCAAGTTTGAAAAGATAAAAGTTTTGGATGAATTATAATTAATATCACTTCACATATGTGACAAAATCAAATAATTGAATTTATATTTATTTAAAATTGAGTTAAAGTTGTCATTTAATTAGTTATCTTTCAAAATCCCCCAATTTGGGGAAACTTGAAAATTGATCATTTGAAGGGTTTTGGAGGGTTATAAAAGTTCTCCAAAACCATCCCCTCCATATTTTGTAACTCCCAAACATGAAAGGGAGGACCATAAACCCTTGTTAACCATCCCCTTCCCTCCAAAACTCAACTCCCAAACACACCCTTAAATTTTCAATTAATAAAAAAAAACTTATTCATTCATCATTCATAAATAGGGATAAAAAACAGTTACTTTGAAAGCGAATGATGGGTCCATGATTAAGGGAGTCTTTTAAATTGCTTCTACTTTAAAAGTGATTCTTTGACGTGATTTTAGAGAATCTTTGACAACTAGGTATGAATGTAATTTTTTTGAATCGGTATACCGGTATACGGATTTATACTTTTTTCATTTTGTTTTTAAAAACTGGTAATACCTTTTTTATTTTTGATCCGATTTTTATAAAATTTATATCAACATTTTTTATTTTTCATGATATTTCAAATGAGACCAATATTGCTTATGCAATTTTAAGAAATTATCGAACTATTATATTAATGAGTATTGGATTATAAGGAAAATCGAACTAAATTTAATACAGAAAAATAATTGTGTAAATCACAATTTATCTTAAAATTGTGTATATAAAAATTTTATTGTATTAGGTATTTATACATGTGAGTTACATATTTTTATATGTGAAGTTACATATTTTTACACGTAAATTTACATATTTCTACACGTGAGTTACATATATATACACACGAGTTGCATTTGACTTGCCTAAACGCGAGTTACATATATTTACACGTCAAGTTACATATTTTTATACTTAAAGTTACATATTTATACACGCGAGTTACATATTTATACACACAAGTTGCATTTGACCTATCTGAACGCGAGTTACATATTTTTTTACATAAAGTTACATATTTTTACACGTAGAGTTACATATTTATACACATGACTTGCATTTGGCCTGACTGAACGTGAGTTACATATTTTAACACGTAAAGTTGCATATTTTTACACGCAAATGTTAATATGTTAAAATTACATAGGCATTATTGATCTCATTTGAAAGATCATGAAAAAAAAAATTGATATAAATTTTATAAAAATCGGATCAAAAATAAAAAAACTATTAACATTTTTAAGAAAGAAGAAATAAAAAGTAACAAAGCCAAATGCACTTTTTTTTCAACTTGTCCTAGTACAATTATGCATTTATACGTAAATGTATTATATGAAATACTCTATAAAATTTATGATATAGGGAGTATTGTGTTATTCTATATATGGTATAATATTGTTAACGCCCCCAATATTCATTTAGTTTCTGAGTTCGTGACTGTGTCTAGGTACACTCCCCCATATATATGACCGAGTCATCGGGAATCCGAAATTATCATATCTTATAATTTGTGATTTTAAGTCCTTTTACTTTCAAACTTGCCTCGTTAAGAAATCAACGGATATTGTTAATGATGAGTAGCTGTTGAATTATGTTAGCAAACATCAATGAACTAAGTGTTTTAGGGGTTTGACCATCATATTAAACAAAGAGTTCAAATCATATTAGTTAAATATGATATGTTTAAGTGATAAAATTTGTACATAAAATAGTACTACCTCCATCTCGGTGGACTTTGCCAAGTGCAAAGTGGTGAGAAGTAAGAATAGTAAAAACTGTGTGGTTGAGATTTGTGTAGAGGAGAGAGAAATGTGCAGAACCACAAATTAGTTACTTTAATAGGAAAACGGCAAAGTTTTTTGGGACAATCAAAAAAAGAAAGTTGTCAAAGTCCAATGGGACGGAGGGAGTAATATAATATGGAGTTATCTTATATGTTAGATTTTCCATTTCATATTTATTTAATTTGATAAATTAGTCAATTTGAATACTATTTCCATTCCTTTTTATTTCACTTTTCGGTCGAAGTTGGTAAACATTGATCCATTATTGTAACTAATATATTTATGTGAAATTTAATAAATTTGTATTATATGATTGTATATTTAACAAAGTACACTTTTATATCATTTTCATATTATCGGTATTCTCATGTATATATAATCTGCCAAAATTTATCATCGTTGACTTAAAAAGTCAAAATTTGGTTAAATAAAAGGGGACGTGGGAGTATCAGGTAGTGTTTACGACATGAAAGGTATGGTCATGCATGTTTTTTTTGTTTGAACAAATTTCATTTTTCATCATCAATTCATGGTCTTAGATAACTTACATCTTTGGAGGTAATCACCGGCGTTAATGATATTGTTAACACTAAAGAATTCTTTTCTCATTGATACCAGATGCAACTCGAAGGATCAAGGACTGTGCATTGTATGTGATGGACGGCTGAGGTTGAGTATGAACCCAAGATAGAAGTTAAAATAAGACTATGTATTACACTTATGTATATATAGATATAGATCTTAGATACAGAAGATATACTAGTTTATGTCCAGGAGTTATCCCAGTTTAATATCAATGTGCTTTTACACCACATAATTTATGAATGTACGTAGATTGTTATAAGGTAAAGTGAGGCTATATATTTAAAGTTTAAACGGTAATTAAATGAAATAATAACTCTGTTTGGTTGTAGGCCAATTTTTTTGACTATAATAACTGAGATGAAAAGTCCTATCTGTAATACTTGAGAATTTGAGTACTTGGATTAAGTTAATGTTTCGGGACGAAACATCTTTTAAGAAGGGTAGAATGTGACACTTCAAAAATTTAAATAAAAAAAAATAAAAATAATTTTTATTAGTCAGATAAAAATTTTACGAAAATAACATTTTAATAATTAATTGAGTCAGACAAAAAATTCAACAGTTGTAAAATTCTAAACAGATAAAATTTCAAAATTTATGACGTTTTAGTCAGATAAAAATATTTCAGTAATAGGAACAACATTTTATTAAACAAGTAAACCAGACAGAAAATTTCCAAGTTTACGACTTTTTAATCAGATAAAAATGGCCCGATAATAGAAGTTATGTTTTAGTATAAAATTAATTTTTATATAACTATTTTAGATTGTATAATATACAAAATATAAACTAAATAATTAAAATAATCTTAATACATATATATATATATATATATAGATATACG